TTTAGGATAAAGAAAGCAAGGAGGGCATGTTCAAAATAAAATCAATGTTTGTAGAATAGAAAAAAAATGCAATTTTCAGGAGTCCATCTTGGGGAGAAAGTAACTGGGACAAAATGATGAATTGAACTGGCAACTGAAAGAGAGAGAGAGAAGATATTTCCAAAGTTTTCCCAGGAGCCACCATTAGGATGATACTATTAGATGTTCGGAAACAAGAGGAAGAGCATTTCTTTTTAGTGAATAAGATCAGATAATAACAGATAGCTCTGAACACCTGAGTTTCAGTGGCCTATGTGGGTATCTACTACTGTGAAAGAATCCCCCCCCCCCCCCCGCATGCCCAGTCTTGAAAAAAATGGCAGTTAATTATTATCTCTTACTGCTGTGTATGATGTCTGGGCTGAGCTGGACAGTTCTTGTCAGGAGATAGAATTAGAGCTGAGGTTAGATATTGGCTGGGGATGATGGATGTTCAAGATGGCTTCCTCATGGTGATTAGCTACCAAGAGGTGAGGACAGAGGCTTTGGGACCTTGTAAGGCCTGGAATTGGAATAGCATAACTTCCCCAAACTTTGTTAGTCATATGGTCCCAGGCTAATGCAAACTCCAGTTGAAGGAAAACAGACTCTACTCAGCAGTGGAGTATCAATAAATGTGCCCCTAGCTTATATTTTCCACAAGGTGTTGAAGACCCACATTCAGGGATGTTTGGGAGACAATTATGAACGCTTGTCTGGGTCTGCTGAAAGAAATCGGAAGGAGAAATGTGAATGGAAATATTTTCTAAGGAAAATTAGCAATCTAAACTACAAGATAAAGTCAAGAGGTTATGAATGATAAAAGAATAGCATTACGAAGGGAACTAATTGATGCAAGAGAGAAAATAAAGCAGGGGGCAAGGAACAGGGAGCCAGTCTCTGTGCAAGAGAGGTCAGAATGTCAGAAATGGGTGGAAAGCAGTGCTGTCTAGATGTTGGAAAGAATGAGTTACAAAGGAATCTTCAATAGACATCATTAACTTCTCAGGAGACATCAGCAGTAGCATTAACAAAGGAGCAGTAATCCACGGAACTGAGGTCAGAGAAGGGGACAGAGCATAGTACTACCCTTCTGGGAGGAACTGGCATCAGCTGGGCAAACACTCAGAGATCTGGCTCTGCCTGGTGGAAGCAGGGCATGCCTTCCTGCTGGCTTTATTTGCCTGTATGTCGGGTGGCTTGGAATGGTCAGCAGAAGATAAGGAAACAGGAGAAATGAGGCAAGCGGACTTGGTCAGTGTAGGAGAAGGTTAGCTTCTGAAGGACTGGGGGTGAGGTATGGAGGAGACAGGGTGCAAAAACAAAGCAAGGTTAGTGTGCTTGATTATTCAGGGATATGGTGGAGGGAGGAGGGAGCTAGAGTAAGTCTTCAACTTCCTGGAACGTGGAGCTAAGCCCTGCTACCCTGACAGAGGTCCCAGATTTCCCATTCTGGTCCCCCCATTCTCCTGTCAGAGAAGTCCCAGGGAGCCTTTGTTGATTCAGACAGGAAGAAAGAGGCCTCCTTCCTCCTCAGAACAGCTGTAGAACATTTCTTTAAATTCTAATTCCATGCTTTGATTGTCTCATGTATTATATTTGATAGCTTTTTTTTCTTTGCAAGCTTTGTGTATAATAAAAACAAACAGAACAGGACAAAAATATGATGGGTTTGATACGAACTACTTCTGTCCTGGGCACACAGAACTGGAGGGGACTCCAAAGAACTGAAGGTGAGAAATTTGTAAGAAAGTTTTGTTTATCTATCTGCATTATATTTTCTTTTTGCTGATTTGTTCTAATTGCTGATTATTAAATGAAAATAAAATTTAAGGAACGTTAAATGTTAGAGATTTATAATTATTTATCATTTATAACACAATTTATAAAGAGAAAGAAAATGGTTACAAGCAAGCAAGGACAGCATATAATCACTAGCTTTGGGGAATTTTTGAAAAACAAAAAACAAACAAACCAGGACTAGTCACACTAAATTATTATCAAACCTATATCTGGTTGCATAAGGAATTATCTTTTCCCTCTTCCTTTTCATGATAATTTTGCTTCAGAATTAAATGAATTTTTAAGACAATTTGAAGATTTTATATAAAGCTATTTTCAGCAAATATGTTTCCTTCATAAAGATATAGAAATTATTTGACAGGAAAATAGTATGAATTTAGAGATGAGTTTGTGAATCTAGCCAATTGAGCCAAAGAATGTAATAAAAATAAAGGGCTGAATAAATTAGTTTATTATAGCACAGGTTAATATGACCATACCATATATGCTAGGCCCCCTTGTATCAGTTGATAAAATATGAAAGGCTAGCATAGCCCTTTGCCACTCAGAGCAAGATTTTAATTTTTATGTCTTCACCATAAAAATTGCACACTATATTGAGTCAATGAGTATCCTTTTTTACGTCAAACTGAACAGTAGAGGGAGGAAGTGTGCCTTTCATTTTTGTGTTCCTGTGTTTGTCATGTCTTGAAGAGATGAGAGGTAAATAAGTGAATAAAAAAATGAAGAATTGAAATAAGTTTTATTATCAACTGGGATATGGCCATCACATGTATAATGTATGTAATATGTAATTATCATGCCAATTACTGTATTATATAAAATGATCTTAAAAGCATAAAACTTGCACAATATGCTAGAGTGACGGGGAAACCTTAACTGCTGAACGAGATGTTAGAGAATGTTGATAGAAATACATGAAAGATTTTCCAATATCGTCTGGTAGAGAAAGAAATGTTGAATGTTTTGATATATTTTATGCCCATCTTTGCTACAATCAGGAAGTGGGTGGTGCACAAAGCTTTTAGTGGATGGAGGTTTCCAGGAGACAAAATCCTCCTCTCCCTTTAACTTTTAGGAAAAACAATTTTGTACCTAAGAAGACTGATGGGAAGGTGCAAAATGAGCAGAACTGTACTTGAAAATTTAGTTTCCATCATAGCTCTAGGAGACATAGCAAAATCAAGTAGATATTTTTAAAATATATTATTTTATACCATGAAGTGAATAAGATATTTTAGAAAGAGAACACTTCATTCTCTTTAGTCATTCACATGGACTAATTGCTCCATTTGACTTAATCTCATAGATGGATTTATGGTGTCTAGCTCGGAATAGTCTACGTATGCTAATAACTTCTCTTTCAGCGTTTGGAGTTCTCACTAATTATGTTGTAACTTGACTGCTGAGGACGCTCTGTAATTCTACAGGCAGTGTTTAGCTTCTTGGTGTTATAACGTAAAAGAAGATGAAAGGGTCACAACTTCAATAGGCATGAAATCTTTGAAAAATAATAATAGTGAAAACTTGTAATTGATATATAGGCATTTGTATACTCCCATATACAATAAAAAACAGTAGTTCTGCTAGCTTTGTTCTTGAATTTGGAAAACAAAGGAGATCACAAGGAGAGAAATGAGACAAAACCACAAAGAACTGGACTTCAGAAAGGCTTAGTTGTCACTTAGCAGACTGTATGTTACCAGGACTAAAACCTAACAGGAAGAGTCTCTGCAGCATTTAAAGTAATAGGAATGCACAGGACCCTAGCTGAGCATCCTGCAGAATCTACATCACATTTATTCAAACAAAACATATAAAGAGTAAATGCATGTTGGCATGTATTATTTTATTAGTTTTTATTGATTGATTGGTCGTTTTATTTTTCTATGATGCTAGAGATTGAATCCAGGGTTTTATACAAACTAATCAAGTGTTATACCACTGAGTTATACCCCCAGACCTGGCACATCTATTTTTTAAATATTGTTAACAAGCAAGGATTTAGAGGTGTGCATTGCCTATTATTGCCAATGACTTTCCGGTGGCCTGAACCTGTGCTGCTCTACCTCCTTATAATTGGCACCAGCCACCCTGCACTCCTACAGACCCTCACCCTTCTGCCCCACTTCAGAAATCTGAAGGTTTGGGTGGGAATTATTATTTTTGACTTCACTGTCTGAAAAATTGCAGGAGAAAAAAAAACAATAAATCACCACATCAAGTGACTCCATTGTATCAGATGCGTGCTTAAAAAAGGATGTTGCTCTAATCCTAAATTAGGCAAAGCATTTGAGAAAATAGGACGGGGGTCTTTGTACACAACTGCTCAATCCCGACAGCCTTGATCCCACATCAAGGTTAGAAGTTCAGTGAGTTTCCATTGGTGGAATGATTGTATAAGTTAGGCAAAGCATTTGAGAAAATAGGACAGGGGGTCTTTGTACACAACTGCTCAGTCCCGAAAGCCTTGATCCCACATCAAGGTTAGAAGTTCAGTGAGTTTCCATTGGTGGAATGATTGTATAAGTTAACGCCATTCAGAATCACTTTAACTTGCACAGCTGACTCGAGAGACGTGTGACTAAGCTTCCAAATTGGCACCCATGGCACATTTGTAGGAGCTGCCTTATCTCTGCACCACTTCCTCCCCCCCTCACTTCCTGCCATTATCACCATCAATTTCATCACAGGCAGCTGAAGTTTCCCTTTCAAAATCAAAAGCCCTTGGAGAATAGTTCTGCTTAAAGCCATAGGTCACTAAATATATGGATGATTATGATGACTCTTTTTCATTTCCATTTTGATTAAGTGAAAGCCTCTTAATTTGGGTCATTATTGATACATAAATCTGTAGAGAAAGTGAACATGCCTTTATAATGTAACCAACATTACTTGATTTATTGTTCTTATAATGTGTAAATACAGAAAGAAGGGGGAGAATAAAAGAGTCCAGCTCTCAGTTCCCTGGATATGAACCAGTGCCAGGGACTAATGGAGCAAACTCATCCTGAACGTCCAGCCTCCTGCTCTCAATGGCTCATGTCTCCTCATTTCAATCGAGCTCGGTCTCCTATTTGAAAAGCCATCTAACATTAATCTGTCTATGCTATTCAACTGACCTTTTGGTGGGAGGTTTGTGAGTGATAAAATGAAAGGCTCAAAATGGGTTTCCATACCTGATTGTGGACTTTGTTTGGGGATTTTGGCTACCGCTTGAGGGCTGGAGGTGGAGTGCGTTCGTTGGTTGGCAGAGCTGTGGATGCTGCTAGGAACCACTGATGATGCATTCTTTCGAGGCTTCATGTCTTGTAGCCACATAGGTGAGGCTTCAAAGGCCTGCATCCTCCGAGCATGGCTGTTGGCATTGACTTTCAGGTAGGCCTGGGCCTTGTGTTCCTGTAGCTCCCCGTAGTTGGCATCAGTCACCCTGCACTCATATAAACCTTCATCCTTTTTCCTCACTTTGGAAATCTGAAGCTTGTGGGAGATGTCATTGCCTTGGACTTTCACTGTCTGAAAAATCACAGGTGAAAAACAAAGTTTCACATCAAAGGGTTTTATTCACACTATCTTAAGTTTGCTAATGTTGGGATTAAAGGGTCTTAATGGCTTCATAGTACAAATCTGAAGGTCATATTCATCCTGTTCTACAAACAGCCTCATCCACAGACTCTATTGATCATAAGCTCAATTTAAGCAGTACCAGAGTGGCCCTGCTGTCCACATTTCCCAGATTCCCCTAATAGCCCTGTCAATTTTTCAACATGAGATTGGCCTCTGCCTGGTTAACTCAGCTGAATGAAACATTGAGGAAGGAGTCCATTTCTGGATAAATTTTTCTTTTTTATGGCTACAAGACAACTCCCTCAAAACCAGGGCCAAAAAAAAAAAAAATTGTTGGTCATACCAATTTAAAAACAGAGTGCACTTTACCAAAGGCACTGATAATAGACTTGGATAGTAATATTTTTCTTCTTAGTTACCTATTGCAGGGCTCAGGCTACAGAGAAATGGCATCTGAAATCAAGGCTCGTTGTATATGCTTATGTCACTATACAAACTTGTGATGCTATTAATTGAACAATGATTTGATTTTTAAAACAAGTCAATTTTATTTATTCTAGTAATTTTATCTCAGATTAATAATAAGATCATGGGTCTAATGTATAATATTAAATATGTACTATGTATTCCATTTAATATATATGAAATATATATATATATATATATATATATATATATATATATCATCAGAGCAGTTAATTTGATATATATCATATATATTTGTCAATCCATGATTGACGGACTGGAAGATCACACAAATCTGTCAAGTTTAAGGATTTGATTGATTTTATAAACACAGAAATGAAGGGTGAAGAAGAAGGATGTTCTAGCTATTACCGTTGTAATTATGACAAACTAGCCTCATCTTCATGCTGTCAGTAGGTCAGTCTGGCCTAACAGCAAGTGCAGATTGATATCTGCTTTGCTTTCATATTTTTGTGATTTATTTGAATGCTACATTTATAAATATTTTATATGAGTTATGAATGATATCCAACTTGAGTCATATTGTTTCATTACATTTCAAAAGCCTATTGGATGGTTTCATTTTTGTTTTCCTGAGGTTGTTATTTCCTGTTAAGAGTTGGTACTCCCATTACTTTGAATTATTAACATTATTAATATTGAAATATTGCAGACCTTCATTGTTACACTTAGGTAACTCTAAAAAAAGAGCAAGAAAAAACAGTGCAATAATCCCATTAGCTAGCAAATTAATAGTCTAGCCAATTTATAATTATTTATATGATTAAAACATGCAATTTTATTCATGGACTCTAAATTTGGGCTCAATTTTTAGGTCTTTAATAAGGTAAAAAAAAGACAACTGCCTTTCATCCTGAATTTACAAAATTATCTCTTCGGGCTCAATGAATTAAAAGGATTTAAATCTAAAATCTGTTTTGTACTAATGTTCACCTTGGGCCTTTTTGGCCATTTACTGAAGCATGCGCGCCCTGTGGCTTATCCCTGTGACACTCACACTTATCTTGGTCCCGTCGTTGTCCGGGTCTCTGTCGGGTAAGAGCTCCACCTGTGGGACAAAAGTGCAAATGCTCAACCTCGCCCGAGTCCTCCAGTCCCAGGCACCGCGTTACCGCAGCAGCGCAACCACTGGGAGAGAGCCCAGCCTTCTGGTCTTGAAACACTTCAGCCAAGGGAATTTCAGAGGCAGAAGAACGACCCGAGGGAGGTCCCTACCGCACTCAGTCCTGAGGCCAGGCTGGACTGCCGCCTATGCTCCTCCCTGGAGCATCCCTGAAGTCCCCTTCTCCCCTCATTGGATTCCAAGCATTCCCTGAGACTCCCTAAGGTCCCCGTGGCCCCCTCTAACCAAGTGATACCCTAGAGAGTCCCTGTGGTCCCCAAGCATTCCTGTGGTCGCCGCCACAGTCCTCGTTGTCTCCAAGCGTCCCTGAGGTCCCCGCGGTCTCCTCTATCCTAGTTACTCCCGGAGAGTCCCTGTGGTCCCTGCAGCCCCGCAGGCTGTGCTTCCCCTTGCTGGCTCCCGGCTAGAGTCACAGTCAGGATAGTTCTTCTCCCTCTCAGTTCAGTCCGCCCTGCCTGCAGGCTCGGGGAAGGGTAGGGACAGGCGTAAACCCAACAGGGAACAGGAGTGTGGGTGGAAGTTTTCTGGACAAATTTCTGCATCTCTGACCTCCCTGCTGCTGACCAGTCAGTCTCCAGGTTCTCTTCACCGGACTTTCTCAGTCCTCTGGATCTCCTGTCCGATCGCTCGGTGCGTCTCTTTCCTGCTCTTAGGGCGCTACTCTTTTTAGCTTCTTTACGTTTTCCTTCTCTTCTGGCTTTCTCCCTTCTCCTTTGTCTCCTGCTCTACTTTCTTCTCCATTCCAGGGCCTCTCCCTGCTTTTCTGATGCTTACCCCCATCTCTCCCTATCCCCATCTTTCTCCCCGTCTCTCCTTCCCTCCCTCCCTCCTGTGCGCCCGCCTTCTCTCCCTTCTTCTCTTCAACCCCCTGCCGTGTGTGTGTGTGTGTGTGTGTGTGTGTGTGTGTGTGTGTGTGTGTGTGAGAGAGAGAGAGAGAGAGAGAGAGAGAGAGAGAGAGAGAGAGAGAGAGAGAGAGAGAGAGAGAACGCTAACCTAGAAGAGGAATATGACTCCCCTCATCCTTGATGCTGGGGAGACGGAAGGCTGGTGGAGGGTGCCCTGGTCTGTACCAGCGATACATTGCCAGTTTGGACAGCTCCGGGTATTAAGGGCTGGTTAATTCTGGTCTAAATCGGGAAAGTCCCCGCTAGTGTGACTTCCCAGGTGCTTTTAACTTACTGTAACCGGGACAAATTCAGCCTTGCTCACTCTCACAGAGCAGGGAAGGTTCCCTTGGACGCATGGACCCTGGCGCTGGTTAGACATGCATAGAACTAAGAAAGTGACGTGCAGGGGTTCTGTGGGCTATAAGCCATGACTACCTGAGAGCCGGCTGCCTCAGTCCCATGCTCCAGGTCCTCTGGTCCCCGAAGGAACCACCACTGGATCTCCAGGTACACTGAAGCAGAGCCGCTTTGGAAAGCACAGGACATTTCCACATTTTGTCCCTCGGTCGCAGTCACGTTCCGCGGGAACTCGGTAAATTTTGCTGCAAGACAGAAATGCATCATTTTGGTATGTCTGTACCAGGTTTGCTAATGTCTCTTTCTTGGAGAACTCGACACAAGTTTTTGTTTGTTTAGCCTTTTTCGTGGGCATTGAAAGGAGAAAATAAAAACAGCAATAACAACCCCAATGACATCTCTGCAGGGCTCCCTCTCCCCATTGCTTTGCCTCTGCGTGCCTTGTTCTTGGTATCATGCCTACATCACTTTGTTCTTGGTCAAGTCCAGATAATGGAGAGGTTAACGAGCTTGCCAATAGCTCTCTCTGCTAGCCAAGCAGCCCAGAGTTAGATCCAAACATCTTTTTGCCAGATTGCAGCATTCCCTAAAACTTACGGAGAGATCCAGCGAGGTGCATTTTAGACCTTCTGTCCAATTGATATATGATATGAGAAAGCCTCTGGATTCTTAAGTTTCTCAACCATCTATGACTAACTGGGATGTTTCATGTTAGAAATAGGTAGTAAGTATATTCGTACAACCCACATTCTTAATCTGTCAAAACAGTGGTTAGCAATTTTGTTCTGGAGCCCAAGTAGTGAAACAAGTTGTATACTACCTAAGAGGCATATGCTTCATCCCTACAAGTTAACCTTCACGTTTGTTCCCTTCAAGCCATTATACATTGACATATGTCAGGGGATATAAAAAAAATCATACATCCATGTTTTGTTCAGATCAAAGATTATTTGAAAGACAATACAGAGACTCTGTCTAGCCCTTTTGTTAACCTTGACACTGCCAGCTCGTAAGATTAATAGATCCATGTGAAAGTCATAAAAATTAAATGCCCTTTCCTCCTTAGAGGCATTCCTTGAACATGGGATGATGTTTTTCTTGCTAACTAGATGATTGTTCTTAGCCTTTCTAAGGGGCACTTTGCAAAGAGCTGATGGCCCTCTAGAAGAAACCTTCTATTTGTGGCTGATAGAAGGGCACAATCACACATAGGAAAGGAGGGTCGTTGAAAGGATGGCAGGACTGATTACAGCTACTTTCTGCTCATTTCTTACAGATGGTGAATCTGGGTGGCTCTTTTCACTATTTATGAAGTCTCAAAGGAACTGATTATGTTTCAAGGAAATGGACACTATGAGAAGGCAGCCTATCTGAGTAGGGTTTCTGCTCACATCAGCCAGCGGAATGGGGCATTTCTGCTTGCAGAAGTGATGCAGTCTTCAGGAGGCAAACACTGTGATCTGCTCATGGTGCCGAGGCATCCACTGCAGCCTGCAAAGTCCTGAACAACTGGGCCCAGCAGGCAGCTGCTGCTTATGATGCAATTAGTACCTGCTTGTGGGTTCTTTGGTAAACACACATGGGGAAGAAGTCACAGGGACCAGAGAAGGAGACTAAAGCTTTCTGCATACAGGGAATACTGGCAGAGAGAAATCCCTTCCAACCATCAGCTCTGTATTCCTAATGATTGCATGTGCATGAGTGGTTGCCCTGTTCATGCACATGGAACACACACAGACACAGACACACACACAGACAGACAGAAAGACAGACAGACAGACACACACACCACACCACACCACACCACACCACACCTGTGTCACTGAAGAACTCAGCCCATTGCCAGTCTGGCGTCTACTAGATTTTCTTTGAAACCTGGCTTGCTTGTGATTAATAAACTTTGAAGGAAAAAAAAAGCCAAGCCGAAGACTATTCATATTACCTAAACCCACTGTTGGCTTGATTTGAGCCACTCTCAAGCTGTCTGTCCATTCTTCCAGTTGGTACAGCACACGCACACACACACACAGCACCACATACACACTACAAGCAATGGACTTACCTTGAGAAGAAAGCCCTTGTTGTACATATAACACGGAAAAGAACACAAATCCAACAGACGCCAAAAAGATCCCCATCATGCCAAGGGAGGGAGGCACATTCGTGTAGCCAAGAGCCCCAAAACCTGAAAAGACAGGCAAGCAAGCGTGTCCACAGGCTGCTTTCAGAGCCCGGGGCGCGACACTGCACGCATGCTGCCGCTCGCGGCGAAGACTGGCTTGGGCACTGGGGATTGCGACTGGCGAGGGCTGGACCAAAGCTGGCTGGGATCCGGAGGCTTCAGGCGCAGACCCGGGCTGCCACGCTGCGAAGTGTCTCCGCCGGCGGCTGGCTGCTTCCGCTACCTGGCAGCTCGTCCCACGTCAGCCGCTCGGCTTGCGTGCTCGCCGCCCTCCCCACGCCCAGCGAGCCGGCGGCGGCGAGTGGAGCGGGCGCGGGGCGGCGCGGACTGGGCTCGCGAGGAGCCCAACTTTGCCTCTAATGGCTGCGATGATGCCTTTAACTCTGTGCGCGCCGGGGCTGCGCACCTGCTGGCCAGGGGTCCCTGCCAGACTTCTATGCACCGGTCCGCCTTTACCCCCATCAGCCATCTCGGGCTTCGCCTCTGCAAAGAGGACAGGACAAATATAGGGTCTTGGCGTTTGTTCAGGGATAGGAGAGAGGAATTTGAGAAGGAAGTTGAGGCATTGTTAAAGACAGAGGAGGGATGGATGGGTTGGTTGGGAGTGACTGCTTCGGGGCGATGAAAACAGCCCTTGGAGGGAAATGCTGCTTAACCAGTTATTAACTGCTCCAACTAGAGCGATCACATGCTATTATTTCACCAGAATGTATTGTGAGCAGCTTGCAACCCGGGAGAGGCCATTCGTGCAGGCACTGGATCACTCCAGCTGGCAAATGGAAGGCACAAAAAGTACTCAAGTCATGTATTGAGAGAATGTTCCAGAAGGAAAAGTCTACCATGCAATGCGAACCATCTTTTTATTCTTATTCTCATTGCTTGCTTTGCCTCCCTCCCACAGTATTTCTGGTGGGGGAGGGGTTTTTACAAATTATTAAGGTCCTATTAATGATTTATTTTTGTTTTTTTAATTTCTTTTGCATAACAGTAATTACATAATAGTCTGTAGGATTATATGAATAAAGAATATTATTTTAAGCACAACAAAGCCCCCAAACAAGGCAAAAACTCCAGTAAGTTTCAGAACTTAGAACAAGCCTGGTCATTTGTCTTGGGAAAGCTTGAGATGTATACTGTATTTTTAAAATTTAAGGATCTTAAATAAACAAACAAACCCCCCAAAACACTTGTCAGATCTTGTGAAATCTAATTATTACTCAATGAGTTTACATCTTAAAATTTATTTTTCAACAGAAAGCACAGAATAATGTAAAATATTTTCATTATTTTTCCTGTGCAGATATACCTCCGTTCTTCAGTATTAATTGGAAATATGCATTAGTCTTACAATGCTACCAGAAACCCAATGAAGCTTATGTATTTTCATCTTCGAAGTTAGGAGTTTGTGCTTGGCTGATTCCTTTCCTGCCACAAAAACTTAACCCTAACGTGCCTGTGCCTGTAGGGTTTTAAAACCACTTGTTTCCTACAGCTGAATGCAGCAGAAACTTAAAATGTCAAGAAATTAAGGCACAAAAACCTCATAACAATATAATTTATTTTGTGAAGATATAGTTATTCCCATTGTGGGTAGATGCAGAATAGGAGATTTACAGACAGACATGGGGAGTACTTTATGCCTGTTCACGGTTAAGTTAAGCATGCTTTACATCTGCCTTTGCAGTCAGTGGGGAGAGGATGGTGAAGTTTGTCATTCTTGAAAAAAGGTATTTTTTGTTCTAACATTCTGTCTTGGAGAAGGTGTTCAGTATATAAAAACCCAACAAAGGTCAGGGCACCTCCTCCATATCAAGCAATATTTCTTGGAAAACAAACAATATATTACAGGCATTAAGTGTTCATCTGGCAGGTCGTCTTCTAATTTAAATGTTACACCTAACATTGTCATATGGGGACTTCAGGGTTTTAAGTTTCTTTACAGCACTTAGCATAAACAGTTTAATGTGTCCTGAGAATGACTTCAAGGTTGTCTGTTGTTCAAATAGTTTCCAGTACCAAGAAAGAGCACCCATCGGAAGCAAGGCACATAGCTTTAAATGGAGAAACTGATCACTAGCTGCAAACATTCAGTGGGAAAAGCTTGAAAGTGCAAAGAGAGAAAAGAGCTATTATTAGATAGACAAACCATCAAAATTCATGACCAAGAAGTTACACCATCTATGTTATATAAAGAGGGAGGGAGTGAAAAGAACAGAAGGGAGGTAAAACTGGAAAAACATTTGATTCTTCTGAGAAAATCACCTCATAGATATTTTACTTTCAGTTTTTCCAATGTAGGCCAAAGTTTTTCTTAAATATTCATTCCTGCATCTCAAAGAGTACAAATAGTGCTGGCAAACACCTTTGCATGACTCAATATAGAGCATTTACCTTATTAGAGACTAAATACATGTTAAAGATTCAAAAGGAGATGAGTTTGTTAAAAAGTAAATGTAACCAATAGAGCAAATGGCCATTCTGAAACAGTCATTGTAGTACACTATATTTTACAAGACTGTAGGAAAGGCCAGTTTTCTGCATCAAAATGTGGAAGGAACATTTCCTTTCCATTTTTCCTCTCCCAAAGCATGGATAATGTGTAGTCTTATAGAAATGACTGTAAATTTCTTCTTAATGTCACTTAATATTCACTATTTTGCTTTCTAAAAATTTAATCATTTGTATTACCACAATTGTCCTTTTCTCCAAAGTTTGTGCTGCAGATGGTTGTGCCTCCTTGGAACATAATTCAGTCCCTTCGAGTCTTTCCATTGCCTTGCACTAGCCTTTTATTTAGGTTACATTTATGTACTGTTTGCAAATTGAAAGTTGCGTAACTTTGTCTTTCAAATAAGTTTCCTTTGCAAGCTTCTGCATAAGCTTTCAGAGCTATTGATCACTGAGTCAAAGGGAGAGGAAGGCCTAAGCAGCCTCTGGCTAGGGACATTGTAATCTCTTTATCCTAAGAGGTGTGGGGGGTATTTTCCCATAGTGAACTTGAAAGGATTCCTCACATTCTGCTCTCATATGCACATAGTGCATTCACTTTCCATTTTGTACTTACTTTTTCTTTTTTTTTTCTAAACTGAGTCCTGGATACCAAATGAAATTTTGAAAAAAAAAAGTTTGGAATAATTTAAAGACAGAAAAATAGACATTTTCTTCACAAACAGCTTTTTAAACATTTAAAATAGCCACATGGAAAACCAAAAGTTAATCCCTGTGGATTCAAGAAGATAAGCTCCTTCCTTTGCCTCCCTTGCTGGCATCTCTCTGACTTAGTTGAACAGAGTATACATGCTTTCCTGTCTGCACCCCTGATGGTGCTCACTATGGTGTTCTTGAACACTTTCTTTGGAGATAATGAAAACTGCTTAAGAAAGAATATTTCAGGGTATTGAGAAACATTTTCCCTCACAATCTTATGCCTGCATTAATTTATTTCTTACTTGGGAAAATAAAAAGAAGTATTACAAAGCTTAAATGTTGAAGTGTCATAAAAAAAATGTTACAGAGAAATTTTATTTCAGCTGAAGAATGTAAGAGTCAAGAGGAGAGTCACTAACTTAGAGTTATCAAAAATGAACTTTAAAAATTTGACTTCCACTGGACACTACAAGCCAAGTCATGTCACAGTTCAGTCTTCTTGGCATGTAGAAATGGAAAGATATAATAAAGTTAAAAATGGACGGTAATGGCAGAAGAGATGGAACTGTCTCTTTCTGCACATGTAAAGATCATATCATTAGACCTGAGTCTACTTCTGAACTTCTGGGGATTCCAAACCCTTCATGCTGGACCAGTCCAAGCACATGGCTGTGTTACAAAAGCAAACCCATGCTTTATTTCTCCAAGATACTAAGATCTCGAATGTCTGAAGTGAGTGTGGTCCTACAAGTCAGCTGAGAAAAGGCCCATTGAAACAGCACAATTCTTTCCTAACATTGGTTAGCAAGTCACTTGCATTCAAGTTCAGGATAGTTTTCTTCAATACAACTTCATGTTGCCTTGTGGACTGTGCTTTGCAAACAGTTTATGAAGCAAGAATGCTGGTGGACTTTGGAAGAGACAAAGCTTGGCACAGGTGGCCCAAAGATGCCAACTGCCTACTGCACAGCTACTGTTCATTCAGATCCCCCAGATGGTGTACATCCTCTTGTATGGGACAAAAATGTAGAGATGGCTTTTATGCTGGGAAATTCTGTGTAACTTTGCAATTGGAGTTCATGACGTTAGAATACAAATTATTCATGAGGTCGTCTTAGGTCATTTTAGAACTGTAATGTCTGGCCTACAGGCGACCTCTGGAAAAAGCAAAGAACAGAGTCACATTTTCTGTAAAAGTTTCTGTCACTATCTGAATGGCTGCCCCATACACTGTCATGCTTAGATTAATTTATTTCTTTCTAGCTTCCCCCATTCACTTTCTTTCCCTTAAAATATTTTTATATGAACATGGGTTATGTCTGTTAATTTCATTAGCAAAGAATTAACATCTTCTCTTCAAAGCATCTTTAACTACCAAGGAAGAAAAGCTGAGGATTCTGCCTCTGAAGTTGCTCTCTCAGGAGAGTTCCTGCTTCAGAATTCTGCTTCAGTTACAGCTTAGAACTTGTACTCAATATTTACTAGATCCAATCTTTTTTTTTAAAGTTTTCATTTCAAATTCAGGGGGTTTGATTAGATGTGAGTAACCAAAATATGCACCTAATTTTGAGAAACAGATAATTAAATTGAAAAAAGAAAGCAAAGGAACAAAAGCATTACTTTTTGGTAGAATCTATAATTTCCAAGCTTTTCCATGTTTCTGTGTCAATGTTTACAATTTGGATGAAAATAAATATAAGTTTTAATTATGCTTTTGGAAAGCCTTTTAAGAGACAAAGCAATTTGTAGACATTTAACTGGTCTAATATTTTAAGTATGTATGTTTCCTAATTAAATATGCATTTTGAGAGTTCTGGCATTAGGTTTTTCTTAATATGTGTTATTTTATAACCTTAACGAGTAACTTAAACTCCCTGGACATTATCCATTTTTCCAGCAAATGAAAATTCCGGTTTCCCACTTCATGCTCATATAGTAGGAAAATGCATACCACGACTTATCATTATAGTGCATACTTGAGAATATCAGATTTCCTGATGCTGGCCGTTCTAACCCTTGTGAGATGGCATCTATAGTACTTTTAATTTGTATTGATCCAATAACTAGAAATGTTG